GAGATTATGACAGTCATACAAATGGACATCCCGCCTGTCAAGCAGTGGCTGCAGCTTGAATGTGCAAGAGGGTTGAAGAGGTGAACCATTTTTTTAGAATGATACTTATCTCTCAACCCACTGTATCACATTCCTCAAAGCAAAGAGGGACAAACAGTCACCCAAGACAGGAATTTATATCTAGACTTTTTTTTAATGGCGTGACCTTAGTGGTATCGTGTTTAGACCTGCTTTAGTTTTAGGAAGATAGACACAATTAAGAGAAACAGAGTGAAAGGGAAGCACACATAAAATATATCTTTTGTTTTACAACCTGACGAAGGTTAAAGTGTTTTTTCAAAGCAGGAAACTGATGGGAGATTATTATTCAGCAAACCTCAAGTACAAGGAAGAGAAACAGCCTAAACAGCTTGAATTCTAAACAGTCAGACACGTAGTATAGTCACATGACTGTCACATGATCATCTCATGCTCATGATGGGGAAGCATAGATTTAGTTGTGTGTGTGTGTATGTGTGTGTATGTGCGCGTGTGTGACAAAGCCATAAGCCTAATCCACCAACACTGAAGCAGAAAGAGAGAGGTGAACCTGTTAGGACTATTGTGTTGTTTATAAAAACACCTGTAACCAGATCTGACCACCCTCTCTCTCCTCTCTGCCTCTCTCTTTCTGTTTGTCACAAACACACATACCTGGAAAGCACAATGGCCACATTCTTCTCCTCTTCCTCCCTCTTTTGCTCCCCTCTGATCGGGCCAATCACTGAACGGCAGCGAGACGAGGTGGAAGTCGAAACAGGTGAAAGTCAGGGTGTCACATACAGGTACCAAAAAGAAGGAGAGCTGTTCAATGCAGTTAATTAAATATATTTTTTTGAATTTCAGTTTGGACACAAATGAGATAAGACGGAAAAGGACGATAAGGTTTGGACCAGAAGATCCTCTGGACTGCAAGTCGTTTTAAATTTGGTTACATTTGAAAAATAACTTAAAGACAATATCGCACTTGTTTTGGATACTCATTCTCATCTCTGTCCATGCCATTTATTTTCGGTTTAATTTGAATGCTCTTCATAACTTTTCAAACATAAGAAAATGAGTCATATTATTGTTTTCTGATCTGCCACCTTTATGTAAAAAATGTAAGCCTAAAGAAATGACAACATCTTCTGTCAAACTCATACACTTTGTTAACCAAACCACCAACCTCGTGTCTTAAAGGTTTTGTGTCACGATGCTGCGACACTTGACCAATAGTCATTATTAAAACACCACAAGACCTCCTTACTTGGTGAACACAAACATAGAAAAGATGACCAATGCTGTCGGATTTCTGAAGAGTCTCATATTTGTTCTTTTTTCTTCACTGGTTTGATATTACTTCTTGGAGACAGGGTTAGCAAAACCTCACTATAGACCGTTGTGATCCGGACAATTTTTGTTATTTCCAATTAAAACCATTCATAAACGTATAGAAGTTTTCCATGCTCCATAGAGTGGCGAAGTCCCTCCCCTTCCGGTGGACCTCCATGGGACCTTATTTCGGAAAAATTATGTATTGAAGTCAATGGAGAGAGAAAGATTATCTTTCGATCCCGTTTTAATTGTGCCACGAATTACACATATGTTGTTTGTCAATTTAAAAGATAATTTTGCAAGTAAAAAAAAAAAAATTGTGTCGTAAAACTGTGAAGTCACACATTTGTTTGTGTGAAACGCTCAATGAACTACATCTCTGGTGAACAACACACGTCACCAAGATGGCCGTCACTACTGTCTTGTCAACACAACGATTGACTACCCTCACTATCACCACAATGAAACACGTCCTGAAGAATGTCATGCAAAGCTGCCTGCCTGCCTTCCTTTGATTCTCTCTGAACTGCCTGGTCGTTTTAATGTTTAATGTCAACCATTTGTGCAGATAGCATGAAGTAGAGAAGATCGCCGATGCTAACGTTAGCGTTAGCATTTCTCCCCCGGGCTTAAATGGTGTATTATAGGATGATCACACCGGTGACAGTACTATTCAAAGGGTTCACGAAATATGACTACTACTCTTACTGTTTAACATTTTGGGTTACTTAATGTTACTTCATGTTAAGGCTAATAAAAATGACAAGGCTGTAATGCTAACTAACGTGCTAGCTACTAGCTAGGTAGCTAACTTGATCAAGCCACTCCTGGTCCTTTCATCAGACGGGAAGCAAAAGAACGAGCAAGACCCATTGCTGGTATGATAACAACCTGGTACTAAGCACACAGGCATCTTGTTAAAGTTATCTTATCTTAGCCAGCGCCATATAGATAGATTATATCTATATTGCGCTGATCTTAGGTATCTGAATGGTGGAGGAAAACAATTGTGACATCACTTACGCGACTCTGGGATTTGTAGTCTTTCTAGTTACGTATTTTTCATAGTCTTATATTTCAACAGTTTTACGACAAACTGTGACTTTTTTTACATGGAAATTATTTTTTAAGATTGACAAACATCATATGTGTAATTCATGGCACAATTCAAACGGGATCGAAAGATAAGTTTTCTCTCCCCATTGACTTCAATGCATAATTTTTCCGAAATAAGGTCCCATTACCCGGAAGTAAGTGGGCGTGACTTCGCCACTCTATTGGATAGTGTCAGAGTTAGATATTTTAAAAGGTGAATGAAGTAAACCCAAACTACCTGCATGGATCGATACCACCAGACCTAAGAGAGAAAACAGGTGGTTTATTTTAATTCCAGTAATCCGATGAGCTGAGACATTGTGTAACGGACTCTCTTCTGAGAACGAGGCAGGGGCCATGCACACTGTGTAGTGTGTAAACAGGTGACATCCACTCACTGAGAAGGCTGGATCAACACCCCAGCCCCCCCCTCCCCCCTCCTCCCCCGTTTCTCTCTCGGACCCCCCTCTACTTCTGAGGCTCAACCTTTAACCCCTGTGTGACCCCTCCACCCCCCTCCTGTGTGGTGACACCGCTGAACCCCTCCGTTCCTCCCTCTCTGTCCTTCAACCTGCTCGTACGCTAATGCTGTTATTATGCTCCATTTCACTGCTAGTTTCTGCCTCCTCCTTTTGCCTTTTTCAGATGAATAGAGGCATATTAAAGCCTGTTTCAAAAAAAAGAAACTTTTATTTTCTGCTGTGATTGTTGCTCTTGTGCATACTGGCTGTGAAGAGTTCATTGTAGGGACACTGTCATTGAATCATTGAAGAACCTTTCACGAGTGGTGTTGTACGCGTGGGCATGCTAGTATTGTTAAAAAAAAGAGGTCAAGCTATCCTTTTACCTGCTTGCACACTTATACATGGACAGAGCATCCTGTTCTCAAACGGCCTCTTCTCTGCATACCTGTTGTCACACACAATGGGCTAGTTGTCTGGACAGCAGGCCAATAGGCAAGGTGTGTGTGTGTGTGTGTGTGTGTGTGTGTGTGTGTGTGTGTGTGTGTGTGTGTGTGTGTGTGTGTGTGTGTGTGTGTGCGTGTGCGTGTGTGTGTGTGCACGTGCAGGGGGTGATTTGATTCTGGCAAGGAAAGCAAGCAGCAAATGCAAGCGGTGTTGAGGGGTGTGTGTTTATGTGTGTGGAAGTGTGTAGGTACGGGGGGAAAGAAAGTAGCAATACAACACTGCGTTTTGTGATAAGATCCCACACACACAGACACACACATGCATGCACCAAACCTCCCACCCCCTACCTTGCTAGAGTGGAATGTTCCATGGCCGAGACTGACTCTGTGAACCCATTCACAAAACGGACACACACACTTGTCCCTAGTTTCAGCAGGTGAACAGGTGGATTACATGTTAGTTTCTCAGGATGATTTATTTTGTCTCATCATAACACCCTGTTTCGCGTGACATTGTTAGCCTGTTTAGCTATTGTGTGTTAAGGGATCTGTGATTAGGGGGCGTTAGCTGGAGTTGACCCGTGCTGATATTCCACCAGCTTTTCATTCAGCTCTTATCTGCCTGTTTTATTTTTCAGTCTCACTTTCCTGGTCGGTGTGATGGTGTGTGTACGATTGTGTGTGTGTGTGTGTGTGTGTGTGTGCGTGTGTGTGTGTGTGTGTGTGTGTGTGTGTGTGTGTGTGTGTGTGTGTGTGTGTGTGTGTGTCCTTGTGCTAGAAAACAATTAATCTTTCCAGGAAAGTTTCCAAGTGATGGTGAAAATTGCAGGTTTAAGATTGCCAGAAGATGCCTGTACTTTTACAACCGGCATACAGTACATGCATGTTGATAAAGGTAACATCCCAATTGCAGTTTCTGGTACTTTGATTAGCAGTTCTCATCTTGATATTTAATAATGAGCTGCTTCATGCTAAAGAAAAAAGAGTCATTCAGAAACTTGAATTGACTCATTTGCAGTGGTCCTTACATGGAAACACTGTGTATGGGATGTAAGATCTTACATGAAAGCACCATAATATGAACATAAATGGTGAGATACGCAGAGAGAGAAAGAGAGGGGTATTACATATAACAGATATCCGTAGGCTGCATTGAACACAAGCTGTTGCGGTTATGTGACATGCGCTGAAACCAGTCGTCTAACAAGACGCTCCCACATTTGTTTTCTTTGCCACAACCCGTCAGACAGTCTGAAGTTTGTGGTTTCAGTTTGTCTTAAAGGGCCAGTATGCAAGATTTCGAACGATCTATTGGTAGAAAGGAATATAACATATTTAAATATGGTTTAATTAGGTGAAATGGTGAATTGTTGTGATTTTGTTAGCTTAGAATGAGCCCTTTTTATAGTGGGAGGGTCCATCCCCAGTCCCTCATGTTGCACTACCAAGCGTCTACTGTAGCTCAAAACAGACAAATCAAAGACATTAAATGAAGGCCTCTAAAGTTCATTGTTACTCAATGCAACGCCAGAATTTCATAGCTTCTAAATTATTATTTTAAGGATGTTATGTTAAGGATGGCCTCTAAACAAGGTGAAGGTACTGTGGCGTAACCACAGTCTGGTAGGGTGAGGATGAGGGGTATTCAGTTGAGTGCAATCTACAACTGCAGCCCTAGATGCCAGCAAATCTTACACACTTTCTCTTTAATGGACTCCACATAACCAAATGTCACCAAAACCAGGACTGTTCATTTTTTCTTTACAGATAGTCCTCTCAGATTTGCTCTAATTTGAGTTTATTCTGTGCTTTTATCTGAAATATGCTGGTTACACTTAATCACATAGAGAGTCAGTGTTGTTTCCCAGAGCTGGGAGAAGACTGTCACACATGTTGACATTAAAATGGTTACTGGTTACTGACAAGGTAATAAGTGGCTTCAGTGTGGTTATATGTCATGAGGATGACTCTTTCTTTTGTCCTTCAGTCGTTGAACTCCTTCTAACATCTTTATCTCTCTCCCTCGCTCTCTCTTTCTCTCTCTCTCTCTCTCTCTCTCTCTCCTTCCACGTCTCCTTGACCTTGGCAGTGATTGTAGCACCTAAACACACAATGCCCTAAGCTGCCATTGGATAGCGACAAATCACATGACTGCAGTGTCAGCTGACAAAATTCTAGGCAAAAGGGGAAACTTCTTTCATCAGGATGGAAAACAAATGTTTGGACTTTAATGTTAGATCCTGTGTGTGTGTGTGTGTGTGTGTGTGTGTGTGTGTGTGTGTGTGTGTGTGTGTGTGTGTGTGTGTGTGTGTGTGTGTGTGTGTGTGTGTGTGTGTGTGTGTGTGTGTGTGTGTGTGTGTGTGTGTGTGTGTGTGGGTGTGTGCGTGTGTGTGTGCGTGTGTGTGTGTGGATTGTGGGAGGGCAGAAAGGCTCTCATTTTTTTGCTGAGTCATTTTTGTTAATCATAAGTGGAACACTGGGATTGGTTGACGGTAGTTAAAGGATGTGAGGTGAACCTTTGAATGAGGAAGTGTTATAGAACAACGTTTTCCCGAGAGGCAGAACAGTGCGGTAGAACTGTTTCAGGTTTTTTAGTCAGAACAGCGATTTTACACTCATCAGCGGTTGGCTTTCAGAAAATCCGTCTGTCCCTTCAAACACCGCATGCACACGCATAGTCTGTGAGTTAGGAGGGACCATGCACATGTGTGTGACCCTGTGGTGTCCTTTAACTAAGGTTTACTGGCCCTAAAGTGATAAATGACCTGCTTCTAAAAATGCATAAATAGCCGTGCATTGATAAATTGTATTTGTTAATACATTTGTTATTCAGTTTTGAATGTTCCTTTAATTTTTTTCAAGTTACTTGAGCAGGTTTAGTTTCAATTTCTATTCTGTAGAAATTAATGAGCTTGTTTTACTCTTAGTTTCAGTTGAAGTTTTGCATAGAATCTAGAACTTTACGAGACTTGCACCAGGATAAAAAGAAAACAACAATAAAGTAACATTATATTTGTTTTAGTCATTTTAGTCTTATTTCTCTACAATCGCTTATTATAAAAAGATGTATGAACAGTATTTTTAAAACGTTTTATTGATAGTACAAGTGAGGTAGAAGGAGATAAAGATACAGAAGTAAAGTGACTTTCATGGTCAAAACCAAAACACAAGCATGCAGACACTCAAGTGTTTCTACTTTAACTATTTTCTTAAGAAACAAGCACTTTGCTCAGCTGAAGCCCTTCAGAGGTCTGTCATGCCCCGCGGGGACGAGACACATCTCAGATTTCTGTTGTATTTTTGTTTCCATTAGCAGTTAGTAAAAATGTACGTACAATGGCAAACCTCCGACCAGCGACAGTCATTGTTTCCGTAACATGTCTGTTGAAATTGGCTCAGCAGTTATAATATCTGACTCAATTCTTACATGTTCTAAACATGTAGTTCTGCTAAAGCCTTGTTGGACATCATTTTAGATTTTAGTCAAATAGGAAACATTTCATCAACCCTGTGTTGAAGTTAAGGCAGTAAGGTTCAATTACATTTTAATCATTTTTGAACAGAATTATCATTTTAAAAGGCCTCTAATACCAAGTGGAAACTGACAAACAATTCAGTTTAACATAATGTGTTATTTTTCTTGCTCACAAAATTGTGTTTGTGAAATAAAATGTATGTTGAACACATTTTTTTATTTTAAAGATCACAGTAACAGAACATATAAAATAACAGCACGGTAAGAAGAGCTTAAACTATATTAAAATTGAATGATTAAGCTTGAAATGATAAAAATAAAAATCATATGCATAACATGCTGTTAATAAAACATGCTGCAATGAACTGCTCTGCATCTCTTTGTGTATACCCACAAACATGCATAGCTACGTTATAACAATACTGATATCTGGTAATTGTGTATCTGTGTGTACGTTACTCTGAGTTTGGTTGGTGACAACAAGGCAACACGAACTCAGCAAACTCTTCCTCAGACCTTAACACCCCCCATCTGAGTCAGTGACCGTTTACATCTGTTTGTGTGCAGCTTGCTTCGTTGTGTGTGGGTTCATATCAGACCAGTCAGGCCACTTCCCCCATGTCTCTCTGTCTGTCTCGGACTGATGGCTATCTTCGGTGCATGACTCGTGAGTTTATAACATATATATTGTCCTTTCTATCATAGTGGTGGATTGTGTTTTTTAACTTATACTACCTGTTAGAACTCTTCTCTTTATTTGTGTCTTCCTTCATCACGTAAACACATGCAGCTGTCTAAGTAGGGTGTCTATCTCTGGCATGTATTAGCAGTTTATATTTACATTTGTATACATAATTCCTCAATTTTTCTTATGTTTTTCCTTTTAAAGTTGCCTTTTCCTTGACTATATAGTAGTGTGTTTGTACCTGAGAGAGTGTGTTTGTGTGATACAGTGTGCTGGCAATCAAGTCATCTTGGTCTTTGAATCACCCTCTCCTCCACCTCTAAAGTAGGTTTATGGCTGCACACGGCCTTCACTCCAACCACTCTGTTGGCGGAGAGAATACATTTCTCCATCTGTAAACTTTGAACTGGCTATCTACATATACTGTGTGTGTGTGTGTGTGTGTGTGTGTGTGTGTGTGTGTGTGTGTGTGTGTGTGTGTGTGTGTGTGTGTGTGTGTGTGTGTGTGTGTGTGTGTGTGTGTGTGTGTGAGAGAATCGGTGATTGCATGTCCTTCATTAACAGAGTCATTGGTTAATGTTTCACCGGTGCAATGGCAACAGCACACACTCAAACACACACCTCCATACACACACTTGTGGTGGCATAGAACGGCACCCCGTCTGATAAGAGCTATAGACCTCTTTCCCCCCAAAAGGGTTGTTTAAGGTTAAATACACTTCCACACATTGTCAACGCACTCTCCTTCTCTGTGTTTCTGGCATATATGAGTGGAATGTGACAGATTCAATCTGGATTGTATTCTCTTTATCTCCACTGTGCTTATCTGTTCATAAACACATAATATAACTGCACGAGAAAATAAAGGTTTATTAGCGTTTGTTAACTAAACATAAATCATCATGATTAATGATTAAGATGCCTGGTCCCACTACAATCATGTCTTCATCAAAATTACTATCCCAAACAACTATACTGCATTCCCGTGCATGTTTAAAGGGAAATGTATTTCCTCCCAGATTGAGGTTTGCACTTTTAAACACCTGGTTAGTGTTGTTAAATCTTTTCTTTTTTTTAAATGAAGCAAAACTAATTGTTTATGTTTAATATAACGACTTTGATGGTTTAGTAAAAGGTCATGGGTTGTCCTAAAATGAGTAAGGACCTGCATTTTATAGCCATCCAGCCACACAATGAGGAGGTGGATAAAAACAGGCATTCTTTATCCAAAATAATGAAGTTTTGTGGGGCTTTTGAGTTGGCTTTGCGTGGGCATGACGGACTGACTCTTCAGTCAACCCTGGAATTTTCAGGGGATTGGTGGACTTTGTTTCCTGCACACTGTGCTGGAGGAGCACCTGAAGACCCCCACCGTTTTTAAAGGCACGCCAAAGACGTACACCACATTGATTTACATATATCCTCAGCTTTTTGTATTACTGTTGATTATACCGTTGTTCTGTAATTTATATATATATATATATATACATCATATATATACATATATGTATGCAAGTATTGCTAATGCCATTGTTTTTACGTTTTTGTACATAGTCCTCAGTCTCAAATGCTTAAATTGTTTATGGAGGCATTAAAATGTAAGACTGGTAAATTAACACTGAAAACAATTTGTCTCTCTTTTTTTGCATTAAGTCATACTGGGATGTTTGCTGAAATTGATTTCATGTGGCACAGCCCTACCTAGAAACAATTCCACCAGCCGCCACTGCTGTTTATTCTAAAAGGCGTCAGGCAAAGATTTACAGAAGCTTTCTCTGTGCTGTTTGAATGATTTTGAGTCTATATTGACCTACAAATTATTTTCTTTACAAAATGTGCCTAAAGATATACAAAAAGTTAATATTTAGTTTGATGAAACCACACGGTTGCTCCCTGGGTTATACTGTATGATCTCAGGTTGGTTAATACTGACGACTGAAGTGACAGATTCTAGGAACGTTTTTTATGGTTAGCTGCACTTTGTGTGATCTGTAAGTGTTTCTTTCCCACGCACTCGTAGAAAAGCAATGTTGGTTTTGATCCACCACTTTTTTCCAGAGATAATTCAACAACTATTGAATGGGTAGCCGTTAGACATTCATGATTCCTAGAAGATGAATCAAACTGGCTATGGTGACATTATGTTTATACATTATGTTAATGAGTAAAGGTCAGTATGTCAAGATGTTAAATAACAATAAATACATAATAACATTTGACCAGGGCTGAGCTCAAATCTGATTTTATTTTAGATATTGGTTTTTGCTGTTTAATACAGATATACATACAGTATATATTTTTCCAACTCAGCTGGTCATGGCTGGCTGCTTCATGATGGATGACCTATCCACATTTATTCTGCGAGTTGCAAAGTCTTGTTTCAGAAATGTTTACTACATCCTTATTCTTCAGCTTTTATTTGATTTTATTCTAACTCTAACTTATTATTATTTCTTTCACTGCTTGATCCTTTTTATTTCTGTAAATACATCTGCACACTAGCCCATGACTTTTTCTTGGTTGTTGTCAATCATTTGTCACACCCTCTGCCCTTTTATACCTCACCCTCCCTTTCTGTCTTATTCCTTATCAGCTAAGAGAGAGAGAGAGAGATTGAAGGGAGAAAAAGGTGGTGGTGGTGGTGGTGGTGGTGGTTACCTGTACTTAGTGGCCCCACCTCTCTCTCTTCTTGTCATTGAGAACGAGTAAACACTAAGCCACCTTTGCTCACCTCCACACTCAAACACTGAGACACAGGCAGGCAAGGAGACAGTCTAACTGCTGCATCCTGTTAACGTCACAAAGTCCATTTTAGTTTAAGCGTGATTGTTCAAAATCAAACCTTACCGCCATCATCTGCATCTTCACCGCCTGCTCGTCGATATCTACGACCCTCAGTTTGGGATACAGGTAATGTGTTAATAACAACTCGTGTTTCTGTCTTTTTTTAATGTCTCTGGAAACTTTTTGTTTTTGCGTCAACCTGTCATTTAAATGCTTCAAAATGAAACTTATGATCTTGATGAATGTAATTCTGAAACTTAGAGGAGAACGCCTACTGAGCCAGAGTGTGCGACACTTTATTGCTACTTTTTAGATTAAAAGAAGATTGTCTGATTGTAAAATTGTTTGGAAATACTTTAGTTTGTCGTTATGATCCTCTCTGTTACCAAACCTTACTGTCTTCTGAAGGACACATTTAATAGAGTTTGTCTTGTTGCTTATTTTACTCTCTACTTTCGGATGAAATCTGCCAGTTGTTTCATCTGGCTAGAGTTGCTGCACTTCCCAGTTTCGTTGATTTGTCAGAGCCAAAATAATTATAAACAGAAACAAAGGCACTTAAACCAATCAGTGGGTGAAATGATACCAAGAGGTCCTGACAATGAAACCAGTGGAACCAGTGGAGTGGCATGGCACTGTGTGTGTGTGTGTGTGTGTGTGTGTGTGTGTGTGTGTGTGTGTGTGTGTGTGTGTGTGTGTGTGTGTGTGTGTGTGTGCATGTGTGTGTGTGCGTGTGCGTGTGCGTGTGCATGTGCGTGTGTGTGCAGTGACTACATGGAGAGGCTGGTATTAATATAGACCATAGATTTCCGGGTTCTCCGTCATATAACATGTGGACTTTACCCTTATGAGGTGAGCTGTTTGTTGTGTGTGTGTGGTTGGGTGATTTATATGGCATTGAATGCTATAAATGCAGTGAAAAGGGATACAATTCACTGTGCTTATGATTCAGTTTTACTTGTCCTCTTATTTACAATTAAAACAAAGAGAGTTTATTGACAAATATTTCTTCAGTTTGGGCAATTGTGCCATTGTAGGAGTCTGAAACACGCTCTCTTGACTGTGTTTGTAGACAGGGTGGGACGTTGTTTGATTATAAAAGTGTGTATGAAGGTGAGCTCATTTGAAAGCCTGCTAGGTAAGTGAGAGGGTGATGGATGCTAAAATAAAAATATTTGGGATTTTTTTTTTTAAGTGTGTCACATATCAGCAACTCTCCTCTTGGCTTAATCAGCATCCCCTTATGCCACACACACACACACACACACACACACACACACACACACACACACACACACACACACACACACACACACACACACACACACACACACACACACACACACAGGGGCCACTAAAGCCTTTATCACGAGTGTGTGACACTGTCAACGTCAGTAGTAATTGTCTGAAACAATGTCTGCTGTGGCCTTGAGCAGGCTAGCTGATTAGCCTGAGGAATGTGTTTGCCTAAGGAAGCAAAGCCCCTTTGAGCTAGCGCTAAAGCTAAAGCAGCTCTTATGATTAGTAATGACTGCGAAGCTGTGTGAGGGGACATATGTGGCAATTTACGCTCGCAGTTGACCTTTTTATCCTGTCATGCTTTTATATTCAGTCTGAAACCAAAGCCCTTAGGATTAGCTTGAATCAGTCATTGTCAATGCTGGTGCTGATATTTCAGTTAAAGAGAAAATGGCTCTTTGTTACATCGCCTAAAGTCGTAGTGTTGGGGTAAAACTGTGGTACTTTGGGTGGACAAATGTGTAGGTCCTAAAGGCAGGGGGGCCCTCAGAGTAAATGGACTGGAATCATACCTCCGTGTTGAAGTCGGGTTGAGCTGAAGTCGGTCACTAACGCACTCCGTCTGACCTGAAATTCTTCAGTTTCACTTTAAAGTGCTTTCAGCTCTGAGGGAGGCCCGGACATTTGGTCCCCTCCTCTCTGATCGTTAGCCTCTCAGGCTGCTCTCCATAATCACTCTCTATCCTTTTTTCTACTTGTCTCCCCCCTCCTCACCCTTCTCCCTCTCAGCTTGCCCTTCCTCTCTACACCTTCCCTTCTTCCCCTTTCCCCCCCTGCCTCTCTCCTTTGAGCTTGAGTGAACCACAGGAATGAGGGTGACAGGTACATGGATGGGAGCCGAGAAACAGGACTGGAGCACGGCTGTCTTTGGTCAATGTGTTAATTTGTGCTTAAAATGT